GGCTGGGGACAGAGCTATGATTCAGACCTCCCTCATGCCACCCACTTTGGGCAAACATGAGGCAGAGGAAGCTGTCTCTCCTGTCCTCCCATATCCTTCTCTTCCTCCCTGTCTGCTCCCTCCAACCGGGGCCCAAACTCAGCCACTCACCTCCCTGTCAGAATGTCCCTTTCTGTGTCTCTAAGCTGATATCCCCTTACGAGAAAGTACCCTCCTAGGGGCCAACGACTGGAGGTCCCTAGCACCCTGGAATAGGCCCATTACTTGGACAGTCACACGTTCTTTGGCCCCCTTCCTATTGACCAGTGGGGTCACCATGCCTATCCATTAACCTTGGGTAGATGCTGTGACTCATAGTATATGGCAGAAGTGACAGTGTTCCATTTTTGAGGCCCAGGCCTTAAGAAGTGGCAGCTTCCACCTCCTGTCCCTTGAAATGGTCTCTCTGGGCACCCTGAGTCATCACAGAAGTCTGCCACCCAGAGCCGAGTGATGCTCAAGAGGCCAGTTGTAGGCGCTCCCCTGGTGAGCCGGCCTTGTAGCCCTTCTCAGCGGGGTGCCCGCCAGGAATGCCCATGAGTGAGGCTGCCCTGGATCCTCCAGACCAGCTCATCTGCCATTTGAACACCACTAAGTGACCTCAGCTCCACCAGGAGAGTCACTCAGACAAGCTCTGCCTGAATCCCTCACTCAAATGCCACAAAATATAATAAAACAACTGTTTTAAGCCACTAATATTTTCGGTAACTTGGTACACAGCAATATGCATCGTCTCATTTCAATCCATTCATTACACCTGTTTGACAGAGTCGGAAACGTAAGCTCAGAGGCCTGGGTTTCCCAGGAAGCAGAATGCCCCGCCGGCACTGGAGCTCGAACTTGGGAAGTTGGCTCTGTAACTCCCTCACACCCAAGCCCTTGTGATACTGCTTCTTAGTGGGTTTGTGTGTCCCTCCTGACAGGACAGTTGACATTTCAACCAAAAACATTACCTTCAACCAGAGGGTTGATTAAATTTTCAAGGAGTGACATTTCCAGCACTAAGACATTCCCATTTGAGAGACATCTGGGGAGATTTGGAGTCAGGGTAGGGGAGCGGGTAGAAGAGAGGGTCCCTTCCCTTTCCCATACTCAGGACAGTGGGGGATGATTAACTTGTCTTTGTGTGTTCATAGCTGGCACAGAGACTCTCACAGTGGATGCTTAAAGTATGTTCTGCCCTGGCCAGGTAGATCAGTTGGTTAGGGCGTAGTCCCAGTAGGCCAAGCTTGCGGGTTTGATCCCTGGTCAGGGCACATCCAAGAATCAACCAATGAATGCATAAATAAGTGGAACAACAAATTGTTTCTCTCTTTCTCTCTCTCCCTCCTTTCTTCTCTCTCTCTAAAAAAAAAACAGCCCTGGCCAGTTTTCTCAGTGGTTAGAGCATCAGCCTGTGGATCAGAGAGTCCCGGGTTCGGTTTCCGCTAAGGGCACATGCCTCAGTTGCAGTTCGTCCCTGGCCCCTGTTGGGGTCATGTGGGTGGCAACCAGTCCATGTGTCTCTCTCACATGGATGTTTCTCTCTCTCATTTCCTCCCTCTCTCCCTCTTGCTCTATCTGAAGATAAATGCAAAAATGTCCTCAGGTGAGGATAAAAAATAAAATAAAATAAAACAAGATAAATATTTGCTCCACAAATAAACCAACCCAAAAAGGACTAAGTGATGGAGTGTGAATGGACCAAGATCTGGACAGAAGGGTTTTCCTGCCATCTGCTGGCTATTCCTAGAACAACTCTTTCTTGGCGGGGGAAGGAAATGGAAAGTTCCTTGGGGGATCTTGGCTCTGTGTAGACACCAGGCAGCATTATTCCAGGCTGGAGAAGGGTGGACTGTGGGTGGCCTTCGCCCTCCCTGAGGACCCAGACCTCCTGCTTCCTCGGACCTCTGCGCTCCTTGCGGGCAAGGCAAGCAGAAGCACTCCCCATTCCTGCAGCTCCTCGGGTGCTTAATAAACACTTGCGATTGAATGTGAGCAAATAGGTAATGACAAGTCCTCTATTTCTTCTTTACCTTCCATTTGAAGAGAGGTCCGCTCCCTCACAACTTAGAACATGGCTTGCTCCCATGAACCCCGGAGTCCCCTGTTGTCCCCTACCTGCCCCTCAGGCCTGCCCAGCCCCAGCGCTTCCCTGAGGTGAGTCTCCATACACCCACCCTGCCGAGCTGACAGGTATAGCTCTTCTTGGTAGTAAGACAGGGCAGGAATTTCCCCCTCAAGGCCCCTAAGTTGACACCAAGCACCATCCTCACATTGATGGAGCCTCATGTTCCTCAAATGGAAAACCTGGACCACAAAAACCTGGATGCCAAGCCGACCTTGAACAATGCAGTCAGAAACCCATGTGTGGCCTGGTCCCGTATAGAAGTGGCACAGAGCAGTGAGAGACAGTCTTCCGAGCTGCAGATGGAAAGTTCTGTCTGCGACCCAGAGTGGTTGAATTCCTAGATGTGAAACCTGCGATACGGAGAGCCGACTATATGTTCATTGGGAAAAACCCATGTATAAGTGGTGCCGTGCTGTTCAAACTGTTGTTCACGGGTGAGCCGTGTCTTCCTCAGAGAGCTGTCGCAAACATCACCCGAGACTGGATGTGTAGAGTACTGGCAGCCCAACAAGGCTTGCCACAGGACACCCAGGACAATTCCTAGCAGAATAAATACACGTCCCTCCTCATCCTCCCCAAGTTCCCAGCCACCCGCCACACCCACAGCTCCCACAGCATCTCATCTACCTTTCACCCCAATGCCCATCCCCTCTCTGATCCCCAGCACGTCAGAAAGGCAAGAGGGGGTGGTAAGAACAGACACTTTATTGCACACCATGGCGGGGGGGGGGGTAAGGGAGGAAGGAGGGGCTCCAGCAGGACAAGCCTCATCCCCTCCCCTGGGCTGAGTCAGCCACGGGGTACGCGGACTTGAATGTTCTGAACCTGTGCCAGAACCTAGAGTGATGCTCACCGTGTGCACTTGGGTCTGTACAAAGCAGTGCTTAGGATGAGGAGGGACCCTGGGCCCTCCTTCCCCTGGCCCAGTCATTAGGCCCCAGCGCAGAAGCAGCAGGCCCTCAGTTTCGGGGCCTAGTGGACACCCAGGGAGTCAGGTGCCTTCCAACCTGTTCAGTCTCTTCTCTTTCCCACTGGGGAGAGCATCCGGGAGCTGGGGCAGGGTGCAGCTGCGAGGGCTGCAGGAGGGCTGCGGTGCCCGTGGTGCTGCAGGCCTGCTCCGGCGGGGACCACGGGCTCCCAGCCCCAGCATCCCGGCCGGCGGAGGGCCGGCGCACAGCGCCTTCTCCTGGCACCAGGAAAGCAACAGTCTCTGCAGATTTATTGCTGGAGGGCAAAGCCAGCCTCACTGGCACCAACTTGTGTGCCCCACCTGCCCAGCCCCATGTGGGCCTCAGGCTTCAGGTTGCCTCAGGGGAGATGGCTCCCTGAGCAAGAAGCTGGGGGTTGGCTGGACAGCAGGGGCCAGGGGACCCTTTCAGGCACAGCCCTGCCCTGGCGTCCTCTCTGCCTTCTGGCGCTGCATGGGCAGCACCAAAGCCGGGGTGGGGAGGCCCTGTACTGGGCCGTGGGCCCACCTCCTGCTCCCCGGGGACACCTGGGGCTGGATCTTACCTGAGCAGAGGCCCCACCTGCCCTGGCCTCCCCCTGCTTGCAGCTCCCCTGAGGAGTGAGCCAGGTGTGAGTCAGAAGCACGGGTGACAGCAGCGGTCCCCTTCTGAACGCTGTTAGGACTGCCTCTAAGACGGCAGGACACGGGCGCTGTGCGTGCCCTTTTGGGGGGGTCTCACCATCTTAAGAAGCCAGGACTTTCCTCAGGGTGAACAGCTGTGACTCTAGTGGGGACGGTAAGAAGGTAACTGGAAAGTAAGTGTGGGGGCTTTTCCAGCCTCCCCAAGGCTTGTCCAGTGGTGGGAAGGCAATGAGTCCCGCAAGGGAAGCCTGCCTTCCCCACACAGGGGTTCCCAAGGCCCTGCCCTGAGGCCTGGCTGAGAGGGGGAGGCAGGAGCGCGGTGAGCACTGGGATTCACAAATCAGCACCCTACGCACACCCATACCCACGTATGTGCACACACCACACACGTACACGCACGCACGTACACCGAGCTCTGGGCCCTATGACTAACACAGCAGAGACAGGGCTGGACAGGCCGGCCTACAGCCAAAGGCTAGGAGCACACCCCAGGCCCCAGGGATCTGTCGCAGACTGGCGGGCTGGGGCCTGGCCCAGCTACAAGCTACAAAATTAAAAATATATCAAATATACAATGAAAATAGATCTGTACAGCACTGAGGATGAAAATAGTCCAGCAGCCACAGTATAACATTGGGTTTGTCATTTAACAGCATTTATACCCACATGTACAGATTGAATATACAATAGAAATAGAATACACAGAAGAGTATATATAGCAGTGTCTCTCCTGGGGCCTTGCTTTTCCTGTTGCTAAACTGGTGGGACTAGGCATGGGGCCAGGCAGGGGGTGTCGCCAGGTGAGGGGCCTAAGGCAGCTGTTGGGCTCCAAAGGCATGTCTCTGGGGGGACGAAGGCCTCCTCTCCCCTCACACTCTGGAGGGGCAGGTGGGGCCGAGGGGGCCAGAAATGGAAGGCGCGAGAGGGGCCAGTAAGGGAGATTGTGGGTGGGGGATGGACCTCGAGGCAAGGGGGGTCACGGGACTAAGAAGTGAAGGAGGGAACCTTGGGCCTAGGCTGTCCTTCCCTCTGCGCCTAGTGCTGAGAGCAGTCAATCACAAGTGACTCAGGACCCTCTGTCAAGGAGCCCAGACCTAGCACTGTGGCCTGCTCCCTCCCTGCCCACCACAGCTCTAAAAGAGGTTTGCTGTCCCAGCCAGTGTCCTTCCTTCCTACCTTCCATTTATCATCCATTTACCATCCATCCATCCATCCACACATCCATCATCCATCCATCCATCCATCCATCCATCCATCCATCCATCCTCCCTTTGGTCCATCCACCACCCTGCAGACATCTGTTCTCTGGTCAGGTTCTAACCCTCCCAGCCTATACTCTGAGGGCAGCTCTATTCCTGGTAGGCCAGAAGGTAAGAGTGGGGGTGGGCAGAGACCCAGCCCCCCGGGCAACCTCCCCTCGGCACTGCCTGTGGCCCTGACCACCACGGGTCGGATAGCTGTGCTTATACAACAGAGGGTGAGTGGGGACCCAAAAGGGCAGTGGAAGTATCTGTTTCCCCAGGTGCGAGGCTTCCTGTGTGAGGTCCCCTGAACTCCAGGGACCCCGTTCCAGGGGAGAAGCTGCCACTAGAGAGAAAGTTGGGTCCCAGACGGGAGGAGGGGGTTGTGCAATTGTGCTCCAAACGATCCAAATTGTGCTGTGGACAGCGTGCTCCGGAAACCTCAAGAAAAAGGCAGAGGCCACCACTCGGGGCTCCAGGATGGGACAGGGGCGGGAAAGGACAGGGAGATGGCTAAGCCCTAATGGACGCAGGGAGGGTTCAAGCCTAGTCATTGCCCTCCCAGGCAAGATGTAGGAGCACACCCCACCCACCCAGGCAGGCCTAGGACATCAGAGATCCCACCTAGAGCTGGGGGTGGCGGAGCCCCCGCCCCTCTGCTACCGGGCACCATCTGCCTGACACAACAGAACTCCACCCCAGCTGGAGCCCCGGGGCCCAGCATGTCTGTCCCATCCGCAGCCTTAAATCAGGCAGCCCCTGGGACATCCCGCCCTGCCCCCGTGGCTTCACCACCACACCACCTGGCAACAGAGGCCTCTGAGACCTAAGAACTGCAGATAGCAGGTTAGGGGGAGAGGAGAGTGGGGTGACCCCGAAAGTGGCCACTTGGAGTCTCTCCTGTGCTGGGAATCAGAACTTCTGGATTGTTCCAGTTATTCGGCTGCCATTTGGTGAGAGAACCTTGGAGGGTTAGAAGGCGCGGCCCCCACTCAGGTCTGGGGAACAGAATCGGCTGGGACTGGGGTGGGGGCTGAGGCAGGGCAGACCCCTCTCCTGGGAGGAGCAGCCAGGCTGGGACGGGGGCTGGCTGGGCATGGGGGAGAGGCGGGCAGGGGTGGGGTGGTGGTGATCACAGCTCCGACTCTGGGGTGCTGGCCAGGAGATAGCCACTCCCATAGCGTCCACTGGGGTCACCACTGGGCTCCAGGGGCGACGTGCTGCCAGGCCCCAGGTAGGAGCGGTGAGTGGGCATGGGGGAGGGCGCCTCGCTGGGCACCTTGCTGAGGATGAAGCGGGTCTCGTCATTCTCTTCCAGGTTGGAAATGTCCTTCATCATGCGGCCCTTCTTGTAGGACACGGAGAGGGTATTGGAGCCGTCAGAAAGTAGGTGGAAGTGCCGCAGGATGAACACCACTGGGATGGGCAGGGTCGCCACGACGATGAGGGTGACCAGGAGTACCATGGCCCAGTTAGGGAAATACAGGTAGCGCTCGGCAGCCTAGGGGCGGACGGGGTTAAGGCTGCTGCCCGACCTCACCCGCTCACGACCAACTCTTCCTGCCCATCCCACCCACCACCCCGGCACCAGCAGAGACGAGGCTCAGCAGGGTTGCTACTTGATTAGCTGGTCACCTGCGTCCCAGGTTCTACACTTGTAACAAGGATGGGTGATTCCACTCCACACACGGAGAGAAAACATGGGTTAGAAAGACTGGACAAGTGCGTCAGCCTTTCTGACCCTGTCTCCTATCTGTACAGTAGGGATAATGTCACCTCTCTCTGGGTTGTTGTAAGGTTATAGGTCAGGTGTGCATGCCCCTGGCAGGGCCTCGCACATAGCAGTTGCCCTATAAAAGACCTAGGAAGGTACCCATGTCCCTGGGGTTCTGGGCTGCCACCTCTCACCTCCTCTTTGACCCAGGCGCTGTAGCCCGGGGGCGTGACCCCCAGCTGGATGATGCTGGCTGTGGTGAGTACAGCCATGCACAGTGGAGACACGAACTTCCACATGTAGAAATAGAAGCGGTAGGGCCGGAAGCCCAGCATCTCAGTCAGCTCCTGCATGAACCTGCCAGGTGCAATAGAGGGCCCAGGAGTTGGCACCCCCACTGTGCCTTCACATTACTGCATAGCTTCCTCCTCCAGGAAGCCTTCTCGGACCATTCCATCCCTCCCAGACTCTTCCATTCTTCACATTCAATGCTCCTGGTACATTATCTGTGGCCCGGCTGGCCTCTGGGAAGGCTCTGCTGTCTTCCTCTAACCTCCCCTGACTACATGAAGTCACATCCCACCCAGGGATATGATACAACTCTGCCCCCCCACCCCCCACCCACCCACCCAAACACACACACTGGCCTGGCTCTACACTCCCCCTGCTGGAACATAGGTAGAAGTGCACCTTCTCTAGTGTCCAGAATGCTGCCCTGACTTGGGGTTTCTATCTACCCTGCCTGTGGGTAGAATTCTAGGGCGCTAGCAGGCTGTGCCCATGAATGGCATTAAAAAAGATCACCTTTACCTCAATACCACCTAACTGAAATCTTGCAATTATTTCTGTTATAAATGCAAGCAACTACAGTAGTATTAACAATACCTGTAACTCTGTCAGCAACTGATTAAATCTGGTATTTTCCTATCCATTACAACTGAAGATACCTACAAATATCATTTATGCTCACAGCTACTTTGAAATAATCATTGTTATTCGAGCCATGGCTAGATCTTGTAACTTAATGCAGTAAAAATGAAGTACACAGATATTGCTACATCTCAGATTTGAAACATTACTTTGCTAATTTTCAATATAATGAGTTGTCTTACAATACTATATATTTTATCATTGCATTTAAAAATAATATTCTGAGACTGCCAGAGTCAGCTCCTTCTAGCAGCGTGTTCCAACCCTGGTCACGGGATCGCTCCGTCTTGTCACCAGCCCCTCCTGCACTCTCCCAGGAAGTGGGGGACCATATCAGCAACAGTGAGAGCGCCTGATTCCAAGACCGGGCCCAGACATCAGGGGCGGATCAGGCTGAGTGGTTAGTGGAGCCCTGGCTTTGCTGAGCCAGTGAGAGGCACCTGGTCCTGGGCTTTTGGGGATTCAGATTAGTTCTTAAATGAGGAATGAGGCCAGAAGCTGACAGTGAGCATAGTTCTGCCCTCGGCTCAAGCCAGTCCTTTCTTATTGCTGAATTCTCTTACCCACCCAGATCCCAAACTTAGTACCCAAACCACACCCGTCTCACACCCCCATGTAAATAGCCTTAGGGCTGTGAGTCAGGCTGCTGGAGTCTATGAGCGCTTGGAGAGTAGGGCCCCTTGTTACCCACTGGGTACTTAAGCTTCACAGAATTCTGAGAAGTTGGTACCAGGAAAGGTGCTCTGGTAATTTCATGTAGTTTAGGGTGATGTTAGGACCTGGACCCAGGAGACTCGCACCCTTAACCTTGCTCTGCCTCTCCCCAGCCAAGCCTCTTGAGCAGTGATGTCCTCTCTCTGAGCATCAGTTTCTCTAGCTGACCTGCAGGAGTAGGTTCGGCTCTGACTTCTGACTCTGTGATCTCCTGCCCCATTCACAGCAGCTCTCAGGGGAGTCGAGTTGGGACAGACCCCTCCTCCTGTCCCCACCCCGCCCCCACAGCCCTCTTACTTCTTGGTTCCATAGATCCAGGCAACAGCGATGTTCTCAAGGATGACAATGACGGTGAGCGGCAGGGTGGCTGAGTAGTCATCAAACATGGTGACAAAGTAGTTTCCGGAGCGCTGGACGAACAACAGCCCCACGAGGAATGCAAAGACACAGCAGCCCACTACAGAGAGCCGGGAGGCCGGTGTGGCGGCAGAGGTGCAGGTGGGTGGGGCCCTGGGGTCTTGGGGGCACCCAGGCCTCTCCCATTTCACCCCTCCCCCCAGCAGGTCTACAACCCACCCTCCAGCAGGTCCAGCCCTGTGGGTCAGGAATGAGTCAGTCAGAATCCAGTGTTTCTAAGTCAGAGCCACAACCCCGTCAGTGTCCCCAAGGGCAGCCCACAGGCCAGTGGAGGCTGATAGAGGAGTTGTTACCTGTGAACATCTCCTTGGGCACCTTGAAGGTGTCGATGATGGGCGTGGTAATGCCCGCCATGGTCCCGATCATACTGCCCAGGCCCAGGTTGATGAGCATCAGGAAGAACATGACGGACCAGAACGGGGAGGCAGGGAAGTGTGTCATGGCCTCGGTGAAGGCGATGAAGGCCAGGCCTGTGCCCTGCACGGACTGCGGGTGGAGGTGGAGAGCAAGGGCTCGGTGAGGGCCCATGCCCACCCTAGGAGCCCCTTCATTCATTCTCTGCCCTCAGAGCTTTAGGATTGACAATTCCCTCTTTCCTAGGGGTCTCCACCCCCACCTATATCCTGCTGCTTTGGCCAGTGGGTCTCAGACTTGAGTGAGCATCAGAACCCCTCCCCCACCAAGGGAGTAAAACAACCAATCCTGGAGTTCAGTTGCGGGGTCTGGAATCTGCAAGTTGTACAAGGATCCCAGGTCATTCAGATGAAGACGCTCACTTTTAGAAACACACCCAGCTCAAGACATTCTTCCTCTAAGAAGTCTTCCCTGATTGCTCCCAGCTCTGAGCTCCAGACCTTAATGTAGTGATCTCAGCCTTCACTGCCCCATGATCACAGTGGAACCTTTAAAGGCACCAATGCCTGGGTCTCACCCCAGGGGCAATGATTTGATTGGTCTGGAGGTAAAGCTGGGTATCAGGGTTTTCTAAAGCCCCCAGGGACTCTGATGGGCAGCCAAGGTGTAGAACAACTGCAGCAATGCTTAGGCCCCACACATGGACATCACTTGTACGTTGTCCTGTACTGTCCGGTGACTGTAGGGAGCACCTCCCCAATTGTGTGTGTACTTCTTGTCATTTGGATGTGATTAAGGTTGCAGCATATTGCAAAAGCCTGCTACGATCCTAGTTTTATTCAGAGGACCAGGTCATGCCCGGGAGAATGGGGCAGGGTCTCATGGAAGGGAGAGGTCCTTGATGCTGCCGGTCACTGGGATGAAACAGACAGGGCCCTTTTGCTCTCGCTCGCATGGGAACAGGACATGGGACACAGAACACAGCTCCCTCCGTGTCAGGATGGTGTCTGGAGCAGGCAGCTGACTTAATGTGGAGCTCAGATATCTCATAGGGACTGTCGCCTTCCTCCGCCCTGGAGAAGTGCAGGGTTGGCTCAGGTGGGAGGGAGCTGGCTCTGCCCCCGGTGAGCCTTGGTACCAGCTGGGTCCTAAAACCCTGTGGGTACGTCTCTCTCCTGTTCCCCCTTCTAAAAGAACAGTCATTTTGAAAGTTTACAGCTGTACAAATAGGGACAGAGCAAGGGTCCTGGACTGGGCAGCGGGGACAGCGGGGGAGGTGGCAGCTGTGAGACCCCGACAAGCTGCCAGCTTACAGGCTACTCCCCGTAAAACTGACAATATTAACACTCAACTCAGCACACCGTCAGGAGGGCCAAGGGGGACAGCAAAGGGCAGATCTAACGTGCACCGTGGTTTTCTGTGGCCGTGTACAAGGCAGTGTTCTGAGTAAGACGCGTGGCAGTGACTGGTGTGCAGGAAACCACTCAGTAGACTTGGAAGCCATCCTGCACACTCCTGTGACTCCTGTGATGTGTGTGTCAGCCTCGTCCCCTCCCTAAGACTCAGCTTACCTCAGGGCAGGGCGCTGGGCTGATACCTTTCCTTTCTGGACACATAGTAGGTCCTTGCTTATCAAGTAAACGCACGAGTCCCTGTTGGCTTTCTGGAGCCTGTGCCCAAGCCCCAGCCACCTCTGGCCTGTGCCTCCCGCCTGTCCCGGGCAGGGCAGCCTGTCCCATACCTTGTCTAGCTCGTCCTCCAGCAGGCAGGGATCGAGGCCCAGGGCTGAGAATTGGTCCTCTTTCACGGTCATGATGACCTTGTACATTTCCTCGTAGTCCTTGGTGGTCAGGTGGGAGAAATTGACGTGGGGGGGGATGAGGTCCTGGCTCAGGACGTTGCTGTGGAGGTACCCCAGGATTTTCTCGGCATTCCTGCAGCATAAAGGGGAGAGGACAAGGTAGAAAGGCAGGGGTGAGTACGATCCTGGGGGTACCTCTCAGGCAACCAGACAGGACCCCCAGCCATCAACACAGACATCTGTGAATCTGCCCTTGCGGTCCAGGACTGGGGACAGAGAACTCCTCTGATCACCACCGTTCAGCCCAGGGAGACAGGGACTCCCTGTCCACAGCCCACCTGCCCCTCCTGGGTAGGGTGGAAGGAGGGGAAAGGACAGGAGAGGTGCCACCTACTCAACCACGCATTTCTCGTTCATGATGTTGGCCTTGAAGCCCAGCACAGCAAACACCACGAGGGTGGCCAGCACCGAGGTGAAGAAGTTGATCAAGGACACCAGGGCGGCATCAAAGTGGCAGTTGTTATCCTGCTTGTTGTAGCTGGAGAAGGCGATGACGCCCCCAAAACCCAGCCCCAGGGCGAAGAAGACCTGGGTGGCCGCCTCCCGCCATACCTGCGGGTCCAGCATCTTGTCCAGCTATGCGGGAGGGGACATAGCAGGGGAGAAAAGAGACACACAGTAATAGTTTTATTTGAGTGCAGTGGAGTTCTCACCACACCCCTCTCTCACCTCAACAGAGTTCAGAGGCACCATGGCACAGTGGGAAAGAGCTGTGGCTGTGTGACCTTGGGCAAGTCCCCTAACCCCTCTGTAACTTTCCCCATGTGCAAAACACAGCTACCAGGAATATCAACTTCAGAGGATCATTTCAAGCTTAGGTAGGATAAACTAAACACTGCGTGCTGGCACAGTACGTTCTCAGTTCATGTGAACTGCTATCATTGCTTACCACGGAGCTATCATATGAAGGAACATCACCAGGGCCATCAGGTATGACGTGTGGTGCACAGCTCTAGGGAGTGCCACTCACTTCGACTGGAGTGTGAGTGGTGCCTCCTGGAGTTGTCCAGTGTACAGCCCGCACAATAGTACAAGAGAACTGAGAACATCAAGGCCTCCCTGAGACCTCCTCCACCTCAAACCATAAACAAAGACGCCAACGTTTTCCTCCTGCCCACCTGCTCTCCTTTTCCCGGAAATACAAGGCCCAATGTTCATTCATACACACCTACATGCTCCCGGTCAAGACGAACCCCACCTCACACAGCCCAACCTGCAGCACAGGTCCCAGACACGCCCCCGAGAGAGAAGCCCCTGCCTGACCCCACCTGCTCCCAGACCTGGCAGGACCCTGAGCCCCAACAGCACGGACATGGCAGTGGCACTCTCCAAAGCATTTCACACCCATCCTTCTTTTACTTCCTGTTCTCAAAGCAGGGGCCACAGCTTGGACCCAGCACAGGGCTTTAGAGTCAGACAGGCCGAGCTCTAACTCTGACCCCGTCTTCACTTAGCTGCGAAGACTTAGGTGGTAAGAACTGTTTTATGAGCCTCGGTTTCCTCACCTGAAAAGTGGGGATAATAGGAGTCTCCCTCCCAGAGTGAGAATGGAAAGTACAGCCAGCAGTCACGGCTGGCACACAGCAGCTCTGAGCTCCGCCGAATGCCTCCCCTAGGCGGGTCGGGGGCTGGGGGAGGGGCAGGGACGATTATCCACATTCTGAAAGAGTACACTGAGGCCCAAAGGTGAAATGACTTGCCCAAAGTGATGGGCTTGCCAGCTGGGGCAGAGGAGTTTCTAAAAGACAGACCGTCTCCCGCTAGCCCAGCGCCCTCCTAACACCACCTCCTGACTCAGTCGGCCTGTAAAGCAGGAGGCGAAATCACCTGCTGGGGGCCAGGTGTGCTGGGAGGGAAGGTCTGACCATTCAGACAGGTGAAAGCGCTCTAAATGGTCCCTGCAGAGCATGGACAGTGAGGCCACCAGAGGAATGGAGCAGGTCATCTTCATTCCAAAAGGGATACGGCCCACATTTCCTTATGCACAGGCCCTGGGGCCAGGCTGGTTTTGGAAGGCAGGCTTCTGTTGATGGTCTTGTGGTAGAAAGGTAACAGGGTGCCTATACCACATAACTTCATAGAGCCCAGGCGGGGTCTGGGACACACCTGTAATCAAACACATTCATATTTTTGCCGCAGGATTATAACTATTCCCACCACGTGAATCAATGAAGACTATAAATAGCCTCACATCTGCTCAGGTCATTTTGCCACAAAATGAGTTAAGAAAGAAAGAAAGAAAGAAAGAAAGAAAGAAAGAAAGAAAGAAAGAAAGAAAGAAAGAAAGAAAGAAAGAAAGAAAGAAAGAAAGAAAAAGAAAGACACCACTTTTTGTTTTTCAGGGCTATTTGCATTCGGGCATTGTAAATAAGGAGATAGGGGCCTCATGCCCCTAATAGAAGTTTGAAGAGTTAAAAAAAAGAAAGAGAAAACACAGTAGTCCTTCCTTACCAGTGGTTTTCCTTTCTGTGCTTTCAGTCACTTATGGTCAACTGTGGTCCGAAAATATTAAATGGAAAATTCCAGAAATAAACGATTCATAAGTTTTAAATTGTGCGTCATTCTGAGCAGTACGGTGAAATCTCACGCTGTCCGGCCCGGGAGGTGAATCACCCCTTTGTCCAGCAAATGGATGCACACAGTATTGTTACTCGATGGTTAGTCATTAGAGCCATCGTATTTACCAGGTTGACTGTCACGGTAGCACATATTTGTGTTCAAATAACCCTTATTTGACTTAGTAATGACTCCGAAGTGCTAGAGTGGTGATGCTGGCAATCAGATGTGCCAAAGGGAAGCCACAGTGCTGCTTGTAAGCGAAAGGGTGTGTATGCGTAGGGAGCACTGTGGTACATGTAGGCTTTGGTACTATGCACAGTTTCAAGCATCCACTGGGGGTCTTGGAACGTATCCCCTGCATATATGGGGGGATGTTGTAGCCATAGTCCCACTGGTAAAGGACTTCTGCATCTCCTCTCTCCTGGGTGGGTTTTTAAAAAAAGATCCTCCCAAAACATTCCAGAAATGGGCAGAGGGGTTACTTATGCTGGCATTCACTGATGTGATAGATGTCAATCATGACAGTTCTGCCAATCTGGAACCTGGCACCTCTCTCGGGCTAGAAAACGACCTCGTGGGAGGGCTCTGGGTGGTGAGTTCTAACTAGAAAGAAGCAAAAGATGTTGTAACAGAGGGCAGGTTAAGCTGGACCTAGCTCTGGTCATGCCGTTTGCTGTTGAAAAACCTCTGCTGGTTCCCCACTGTCAGCTAGAAAATTTCTCCCCCTCTGTTTTGAACTCTAACTGCAGTGAACTTACTATTCTTTAAAAGCATCATGATCTCCTACCTGCGGTCTTTGCCCAGCCTATTTCCTCTGTCTGGAATGCTCCTTCCTCCTACTCACTGTCTGGTGAACTCTTATTTATATCTCAAAACCCAGCACAAATATCACCTCCTCTTTGAAGCTTTTCCTGACTGCCTCTAGTCATGGTCGTAGACTCTCACAGCTCATCGACACCCACATTACTGGCATGTGTGTCTGTCTTCCTTTCTACACTTTGTGCTTCTTAGGGATGAAGCCCACCTGCTGTCATCTGTATGAGCAGAACCTGGCACATGGAAGAAAAGGAAAGAGTGGGGTAGGGTGGGGGGACGAGAGAGACAAGCGAAGGCTGACCTGTGTTCTAAAGTGAGCTGAGTCAGGCACCTTCAGTACTGAATGCTTGCTGTTCCTTGAACTTAGAGGGGCTCTTTCAGGATGTCTGGGGTGATGGTACATGATTTCAACAAGGTCCTGATCATAGTGGCAACAGAGAATGAACCCATGACCAGACCTAAGGAAGCTCAGGGTCCTTTCCAAGCATCAGAATGTGGCTGCGGGGGAGATGTGGCAAGCAGGCTTTTCCACCAAAGACAAGCTCATACCCTTCTCGGGGTGCCCCCGGCAAACAGCAATGGCTCCCTGTCATATCCTTGGCACAATGGCTGAGTCACTTCCTCATGCAGGGAACAAGGGGTTCCATGCCATTGGACTCCTTGGCATGAAGAGACTTTTTGAATCCACAAGCAGCTGCTAGTACCCAGCCTGAGCGGGTCTGTGACAGGAGCCCACACCCTTGTTCCCTAGCACTGCCGGGCACCTGCCTGTGTGCGAGAGCCAGACAGCCCACAGGACACCAGGTGGCACTGGAGCGCCCGTTCCCACTGCCGAGGAGCACGAGAGTAATAACAGCTGACACTGCGCCCTCTGCACGCCAGCAGCAGCCCTACGCGGGCCCTCTCCTGACAACTGCGACAGCCACCATGGTTCACCCCATCTTGCAGCTGAGGAAACTGAGGCCCTCAGAGGCCAAGAAATTTGCCCTCTAACTGCGGAGCGATGAGCTGGGATATGGACGGGATCATGTGGCTCAGAGCACGCCCTCTGCCGACAGGCTGGGCTGCCCTCGTCATCCTGCTCAGAAGCCTCGCTCTAACCCGGAGCCCACAAGGTCCCCCATCTGCCTCCACCCCGGGCCTTTGGGACGTGCAGGAAGCCCGCTCTCTTCTCTAAGGGTTCACACACACCCTGACCCTTGACCAGTGTGTCTCCCTGCCAGGACTGCTCACTTGTCTAGACCCCAGAGGCAGTAACACCCGAAGCTCAGCTTGTGCTGGTCCCAGCCGGAAGGCTGGTGTGGCTTCTTCCATTGTGACTGCTTACAGGTAATGCAGTCATGTGGTTTAATTCTTTTTTGAATCCTCACTCGAGGGTATTTTTCCATTGAGTTTCAGATAAAGTGGGAGGGAGGCAGGGAAGGAGAGAGAGAGAGAAACATCAATGTGAGAGAGTCATCGACTGGTTGCCTCTTGCACGACCATAACCAGAGCCGAGGACCGAACAGCAACCGAGGCACATGCCCTTGACTGGAATCAAACCTGAGACTCTTTGGTCCGCAGGCCACCGCTCTAACTGCTGAGCCAAACAGGCCAGGACAGCCATGTGGTTTAAAACTCCAGAAGGGGAAAAGGGTCCACAGTAGGTCTCCCTTTCCTCACCTGTGTCCCAGGTGCCCTCTTTCCTTACCTACACGTAACCGTGACATCAGTTTCTTGCATGCCCTTCTGGTGATATTTCATGCTCTCCACCCTCCTGGGCCACCGCCCTAGCCTCCAGCCTTGATGTTTCCTCAGTGTGCTGAGCTGGGAACCTGCAGAATTCCAGGGCTCCTGGCAAGCTGCCCCCTAGGCCCCTCACTGCCTCATCCCCACGCTCTGCCCAAGGGACCACCGGGCCTGGCCCCTCAGTCCCTGGGCCCCATGTACCTCGGCTGCTGCAAAATGTCCATGACTCCAGGGTCGTCCTTCTTCATCTGGACTTTACCTGGGATGACTGGACCTGTCCCTGCTCTGACCCAAGCCTCCACCCCTGCCTAACTGCTGGCACCCTGCCATCCAGCCCCTGGAACTGTCTGGCATCAGCCAACCCCCCATCTCCACACCCTTCTCTGGAGGCTCCTGCACCTTCTGGCTCCGACTCTGGGGTTCTCCAGCCTGGCTGCACATTAGACCCTCAGGGCGAGCTTAGAGGAACCCGG